AGCTTTCCCCACAAAAAGATGTAGCCGTATCTACACCATTATAAGTGACACCTTATCTTTAAGAGGGCCGAACTTCTCTCTCTTCTTTTCTGGTCAAGATTCAAGGCATCTCTTAAAGTAGCGATAAATCCCTTCTCATAGCCAAAAATGAGAAGAAGGTTATGTTAGAAAACAACTAAACAACAACGCAGAGTTTTTTACCATAATAATTCTATCGCTCGTTCCGGTTACTGCTTTGAATTTAGTCTAGCGTATATTCGTCTGACGTCGAAATTATTAAATATTGGATTATTTTGTTGTTGGTTACCACGTCGATCTTGATGCTTGCAGTCGATAGTATTTGGAACAGCTGTTTGATATATTATATTTTGCTGAAAATAAATTCTCTGTGTTTATCAAGAATGCTATTTAATTCTGTCATTTTAATGACTGAAAGAATTATTCGTGGTATCCACAGTTCAAGTTTGTTTATGATAAACTGACAAATAACTCCACCTGGCCTAAACAGGCATTCGTTATTTTCTGCCTGGTCCAGGATAAGCGTATGTTTAACTACACGAAATACTTTATTATAATCCCGACAAGAGTCAAATATTATACTTAATGGCATCATCATTGTAATTTGATTTGATTCTGCTGCAAGTGCCTTTCTCTTAAAATAACCTTCATATTTCTTTCGATGTTAGAAATTTTAGTATTATGATAATTCAACATTTCAGTGCCAGTTACAATTCCACCTGAAGGTGTTATACCTAAACTTTCACATGAAGCAATGTCATAATCTTGTATCATCTACATTAAATCTGCAGCCGGTGGGACTATACCGAAATTGAAAGCATTAGCGATAAGAAAATCTCTTACTATTACAGCAACTGCATCAGCATTAGCTGCAGCAACTTAAATAGCTGCTCATGATGAAAAACTTCAGTTGATGCAACAACACCAGCTAAACCAGCTCCAGTACCTTTAAACCACGTCATGTTAGTTGCAGTTCATCTTTGATAGTCATCGGGAAATAATATTTGAAGATAGTGCTTGCAAATTGCAGATGATCGAAATATATTCGACATTTTGATTAGCCATTTGATATCTGACACTTCTGGATAAACATCAGCTATTATTTATAAGAGCTACTTCTGAGCCTGCTTCAATTGCGACAGTTAATTGGCCGCTGTCATAATCTGTCCCCGTACTTCAAACATTGCTTTGTGGGGCAGCAGAAATACATCTTCTCTAGTATTATATATTCTGACGCCAGCCTTATTTCGTTTATTAGAATTTGTATTGAGATATATAACATATTCTGATTCTATTACTTAGTCGTCGACTTCAAAAGGGTCTGTTAAATCGAGATAATTCTTAACAGACATTATAATTTTTGGTAACATAAAATTTCACTTAACACTGTGATTTGCGCTGTTGCTTTGGATATTAATTTTTGTATAATTTGTTCTCCTCGTGGCCATTAAAGTATTTTTGTTGTTGCTGTTTTTTCATCCGGTTTCCTGTTTCAACTGTTGGGGCTATTTCTGATGTAACCTGTTTTATATCTGCAACACCCTCAACAGTTTTTGTCCCACCGTAGCTCCAGCTTCAGTTGTAGCTCCAGTTGTAATTGGCGCAACATTTGTGTGACTCCCGGACAATTTTCGATATTTGTTGTAAATTTGTCAAAACAATCCTCCATTTTTTTCTCTGTAATTCTTGTCTCTGTTTCATTATATCTCAGATCGCACAATTTTAAGTCTGCAACTACGTTGTTGCACGTAGGTGGAGGTTTTAAGTAACAACTTCACTATTCAAATCCAGTTATCGCCCAGATTGGTCTGTCAATTGCATATTTATTTGTGTTATCTGATCTTCAACATTTAACGGATATTAAATAACTTGCCATGGATTTATTTGCATTAGCGAGTCTGGTGGGACGACAGGCGAACACCTATAGATAGTCTGTCCTTTGCTACCCCGATGAGGAATAAGATCCAGTCACAATAGAGCAGTTTATTAATATTGTGTTTACGTCAGTAATATTATCATGGTTTGGTCTATAATTGAGCCATATATTTTGTAAAAAAAATTCCTATGATTGTAATACTTGATGATGATGATAAATCGATTAACATATTCTTTTTTTAATGTTATCCTAGCTGCTAAAGTATTATAGTTTGGTGTCAGCTTAAAATTGTCCGCTGCGCCAATAAATTCTTCTATTGTCTAATTTAGATCTGTGATGTTATAAGCTCCTTTTGGAATTTTAAATGTTGTCCATGGCGATAGAAGCACTTGCGCTGAAATATGAAACATAAAATCATCTTTCACCCCAGTTTTTCCGTTAATCATCGCATTCCATGCCGTGCATGAAACTAGTCTATTTTCATACTATTTTTAAGGATCTAGTTGTATTGTTGGTGGAATATAATTGACCGAGAAATTTGTTTGCGATGAGTCAAGTGATAATGTTGTTGACAATTATATAAGGTCGTTGTGAACAATTTCGTATTCGTCAGATGTTAATAAATTGTCTGATCTCAAATGATAAAGTATGTCGATAATTTCATTCTCAATTTCAACACAAACATTTCCAACTTCTTTTGACGCTATCAATAACATTAGTCTACCTATCATCTCAGATGCTGATGTAAATATTTCAAATCCATAACCTGTAACTTCGGTATGGTCCTTTCTGAGACTTATTACATCTGTTTCTCTTCTAGTAAGTTCCTCTTCGTTATCAACCAACCTGCATAATTTAGGATCTTAAATGTTATCTGTGACAACTCTATCTGCTCTTATATGTATTTAATCTAGTTCTTTTGCCTCAGTACTCAGACTCCTAGTACTACGTTTACTAAAATATATGCCATTTTTATATTACGCGCAGATGCGATAATCAAGCGCAGGTATAACATATTTCTTCTATAGTGTTCATTTTTTATTTTAGATGGCTCATGCTTTCTTCTGCTATTTCCGTTAACATTTTAATATTTTCTTCCGCATTGTAATTTTGTTCTAGAATCTTGTATATTCTCATATTTTTAAAATTGTATTACATGTTAAAATTCATACTCTAGATCTTTTACTTTCATTCAATCGTGTATATTTTAGTTTCTATTTAAATTGTTCTCTAGCCCACATTTCTCCCCCAAGATTCTTCTATGCGCGCCACCTCAACCTGTACTATTTTTGAATCGGCTCAAACAGGATGAATTCTGATACTCTTTGCTCAAGTTGAAGTGGATTATTCAGCAGCCATTTTAGATTAGCTTGTCTAGCAGGAGAATCGGCAATATGTTTTGCAAGGTCTTTAGTTTACCTTAATTTTTCTTCATCAGATCTTTTAATACGTTTCTCAGCAGCAGCTCCTCATTTGTTCTTTAACAAGTCCGAATAGACCTTTTTTCTGTAGTTGTTTGATTTCTTCTTCTTCGCCTAGTTTCAGGTTGTTTTCCAAATAGCGCCTCAGTATTTGGTATAAGAGCTGCAGCTGTTGCTTCTGCGGCAGCTACTTGTCAACATCGGGCTTCTTTCACTTTTTGTTTAAATTCTGCTTGAAATTGATTATTTTTAAATCTTTTTATGTTTTCTTTATTTTGCTCGTTGATCCATTTTATATCAAACTACTGTAGATAATATTTAATATAACAGCGAAACTTTTTCCGATGATGTGTAAGCTTCTCAAAGAAGAAGAGGTTGTACTTATATGTCCTTGTCTTGTGAAACAGTTCAAAAAATTTATCTCATGTTACGTCGCCGCATTACTGGATCGCAATATCCCTGATGTCCACGATCTACAGTCCTTGAAATTATATTAAAAAACACAGTATTTCACCGAACAAATCTGTTAACATTACAAAAACTTTGAGCTAAATAAACAGAATTACATTATATATTACGCGACAGTAAAAAATATTATCTTTTTTTAATTAATCTCCGTATTGTTTACCGGAATATCATCAAAACAGCTATCGTATGCTTGCCCGAGTCAATTTCACTCGCCGGAATAAATTCTTCTGGTTGGTTAATCTTAAAAAAACAATCTTCACCGACCTAAAGATCATCGAGAAACTCATTAACTCGTATTTATCTAGTTGAGGATTAATTGTGTAAATATAAACTCCATCATAGTTAAAATTATTTCCCAAAAGTAAATTCATAAGCAAATTTGTTTTTCCTGATAATAACAATCTGGAAATTCGATGTTGTGTACATATTTCAGGTGTCTCTGTATCAAAATTTAATATCGACATTATAGAATTGTTAGACAATAACATATAATGAGCATTTATTAAAAATTGTGAACAACATTAGGAGATTTGCCAAGTTTGACAAACGGCAACATTGGCTTATTTGGTTGCCTAAAATAAATTGGTGACACGATGACAAGTAACCTATGTATATCAGCCAGTGATTTGTTTGGAAACGGCGTATCCACCATTATTTCCAATCTAGCGGGACACTTACGTGTATTATTAATATGTCAGGAAAACGAGTATTAGGTTTAGAAACTTCATATCCACCAGTAGATTTAACACAAGCAGTAGGTTATGCGCATCTAAAATCAGTTGATGATTATAAACCTAACAAAGCTGGTGGCACAATGAAAAGAAAACCTGTATGTGTCCAATTAAAATATAACTGAATTACCGACAACCTCGCCAATGTCCATCTCCAAAGCTATTAGTTATGGTCAGTTAGAAGAAGAACTTAATTCTTACCGAAATAAAATCCAGTGAACCAATGATAGGTAATATGAGAAGTAATAAAATAATGACGGATGTGATGTGATTATGATTTTTAAGGTAGCTTTGACAATCTTTTAGTCATATCGCTACGATGTCTGTAGTGTGGCAGTTCATATTGATGTCTGACATGCCGCAGACATGTAGTATTATATCCCACCCAGTCACATTATCCTGACACCAGGCTCACCAGTGCTAAAACTGACCTCTTAATGCTGAGAGTCAAGCGAGGCAGCTGTTAGTGCCATTTTTGTAAGTCTTTGGTATGACTCAACAGGGGATTGAACCCACGACCTCCCGCATCTAAGGCGGACGCACTGACCACTAGGCTACCGTAGCGGTTCAATAATCCTAATGATCTGACAAATAAAGCGTATGTTGACTCTCTAGCTGTATAAAACGAACTAAGAACAATGTTGGATATATTTCAACACCTTTTAAGGCAACTAATCATCGAGTTGGGTTTGAGGTAGGTGCATCATCGTATTATCCTGAAAATTATCCTTATTATGCTTTCTATGACAGGCATGAGTGAGTGGACATCCAATAGAAAAGTTGAACATATTTAGATTAAAATCAAATGTCCCACTGCAATTGCTATTTGGCAATTTCATCCTAGTGTTGGTCGAATGTATAATTGGTGGTTTGAAGGATCAAATGTTGTTAATTGGGCAACATTTTATAGTACAGCAGACACTTATGTCACAACAATAGTTTACAATCTCGACAAAAAAACAACCTTTTAGCAAGTACTTGTATGTTTTATTTTTGTTGCCTCTGCCGAGCATACATTTCCAGGACTGACATCATTTCAGATATACAAACTCGATGATCAAATTTAATTTATTGCTATACGATAATGTCAGAACCACTAACTATAACTTGTGAGAGAATTTTATGATAATATTTTTAACCCCCAAAAGATGTTGGGGACGCATCATTAGCAACACGTGCAATAAATACCAAAAAAATGTTTCAATTCTAAGGATAAACTCTCATATTGTCAGAAGTCGAAAATAATTTTATTCTTGTTATTCATATGCGAGGACGAGAACTGCAAAAGGCAATAAAACATTTGATATTTTAAGCAGATACTGTCATCCTGATGATTGCCTAGAAGAACAAAACAAGTTAACAACCTGTTTAAAAAATTATTGAGGTTGATTTCAAAGTCATAAATTTGATAGTACATTCAAGCTTATTAAAGACGAATACATGAATATTATAATTGTTTCAACATACTATCAGAATCTAGAATAATAGAAGTAAAAATAAATAGGAATTTATAAAATAATGTTTTTAAAACAACGAAAACTTTAAGCCTCTAGGCATGTTCTACGACGGCAAAGAAACCATAATTAAAATTGTTACTATGACACCATACGCGGAGTTAATTATTAAAGTGTACGCAAACGCAATTTTGCCAATGATGTGCAAAAAAGACACAGGATTTGATCCTATTATTGTTGACAGCCTCTAAAGTAATTAGCAATTTTGACAATGAAATTGATTATTATTAGTGATGATGAACTAAGAAAGTTTTTTATTTGCGAAGTCCGACAAGCAAAGTTGAGAAAAAGTTTGATTTTTATTACGACATACGTGAAGCCGACGATATTCTATTTCCGTCAATCCCCCGTTCTAGACAAGTGACATTATTATAATGAAATTGAGAGAATATTCACAGAACCATACAGAATATTAACGAATCGAATATTCTTTCTTGTAAGCATTACTCCCATTGAACTTTCAGATGTGAGATTAAAAAGAAAAGATTTCCAGTAATATTAATGCTGGCATGTTTCGTATTATTGATAGTATGAGTTAGCAGGTATGACCATAGTTCTTCTTGATATATGATAATATGGCAATGGACGTAGAAAAATATCTCACCTACCTTTCATCCTCCAAGTGAAGCACATCTCTGTAGACTGATCGTATCTTATCAGTGTTATAGTCATTTATACACTCTCGTGTTTTATGACTTTTTAAAGCCCTGAAAAAAGCTAATGGCTTTTCCTCCTTCCGAGTCCGAGCTCACCCGTGTCTCAGTGCTAGACACTTTTTTTGCCCCGGCGCATGGGCCTTTTAACACCCTGGTGGCTCACCGCCTTAGCCGGATGTCACTTTTCAGTGACATTGCTATCCAGGGAGGCACTTAGCCCCTGGGCTTGGCTTTTGGTCGTGGGCTTGGCCTTTTTTGGTGACCTTAAGACCCTTTCATTTTAGTCCCATTGAAAAACCCAGAGTGCATCCATGCCAGCCCAAGAAAAGGCAAGGAAAAAGTCAAGCAAAGGCAAGTGCCGTAGAGCCCCACCGCTTACCGGATTCTGTAGTGTCATAGTTCTTACCCCATGTCCACTTCACACTAAAAGGCAATTGAGATTTGTAATCTTTTCTCTGTGTGAGTATGTGGCCTGGGGCGCTTTCCCTCGTTGTTCTGTTCCGTCTATCCTCTTGCTTCCCGTAGTCTTTTTCGTCCATCCTGGCGTTGAATGTCGTGTACACCCTACCGTTAATGTTTTGTGATCTAGTGTTTCCCGTTGTCTAGTGGGGTGGGAGTTCCTAACTATCTGCCAAACATGTGTGAGTCACATACGTTTCAAATAAGTTTGAGTTGTGAAATTTCCTATCGTATTTTGGTTCTTGTTTTTGCGTACTCTGCGTACTTTTTTTATTTCCGAAAAGAATATCGAATTTGGATGGGTATCAGTTACCCAGGTAATTTTGAGATCTTAAGTAGTTAGGAAGTTGGGAAATAATTTAAAAACCAATCATTCTTTTAAGGGCCACATGTTGAGTTGTATATCCAAAGAAGGCTCATAGCCAAAGAGAGACCAATGTATGGCAATATGAAAAAGCTCTTCATTTCTCCACAGCCGTTAAAACAACAGTTGAGTTACAGTATTTATAAATAAATACTGTTTCAGCTGCTATCTTCTTTCATTTCTTCTGTTAGTCCTTCTTTTACTATTTAGCGTAGAAGTAAAAGAATCTTGATTCTTTTCTTTGTCCTGTTTCTTCTTTCTTGTTTCTTCTTCTTTTCTTCTTTCTTCTTTTCCTTTGTTCCTTTGTTCTCCGGGAGCTCCTAGAAACAAGTCCGTCCTCTTCGAAGGCTGGCTAAATCCATGAATATCTCTGAAGACTGACAAGACAAGATAGTATGCTTAAAGTCATGTATACACTCGCGTGTTTTATGACTGAGCCCTGAGAAGGGCTAGTGGCCTCCCCCCCTTCCGGGGCCGGGCGCACCTGTGTCCAGTGCTGACACTTTTGACTCTGCCCCAGGCTGGGCAGCGTTTCTTCCGGGGGGTGGGGTACTTGCAATCCCGGTCTGGATCGCTTTCCCCTCGGAAGGACGCGGGCCTCAGTGCTTGGCCCCCACAAGACCCTAAAACTTGACCTTTATGTGTTAGGAAAAAGTCGCTCCAAAAACGGCAAACCCACACCCCACTCCCCAGCTCCCCCTCCGCTCCCTCACGCAGCAAAGACCGAAGAAGATAACCCTCCTAACTTTATTTCAGTTAGGGGGCTTGTTAGGGTCAAATGAGACCAGTTTTGCCTATAGGTGTCCTTATATCAATGATGTGTAAGCCACCTGTGCAATTGTCCTAATATTCCTGAGTTGTGGATTTAGAAAATTTTTTTTTTTTTTTTAAAATTTTGCGTACTTAGCGTACTTATATGGTCCTAAAGATGTTGACCTAGAATTAGGTGTTGGCCACCTTTATTAAATTTAGCACGCTTTGTTTTGTGGTTGATTTTTTTTTTTTTTTTGATCGCCATTTCAAAAGGGTCGCATTAGGGCCTGTTGCCTTCAGTGCCAAAGTGAAGACAGTGGTTTTGGCTTCTTGTTTTGAACAGTTGGCCGCGTGGCCCGGACTGTTCGTTTTGCGTTTGTGCCTTGTCCGTACCAGGGGTGGGGTTGTGGGAACGCAAGGGGTTGGGGGTTTTTATGCGTTTCCCTTGATTGTTTTGTAGTGTAGATTATTTTGTGTGTGTGCGGGGGGGGTATTTTGGATGTTAGCTGGAGCTGACTAACTATCCTTGATTAGAGTTGTTATTAATTGGCATGAGAAAGTAATCTTTTCATTCCTTTCTTCTGGTGGTTTTTCTTTTTTTTTTTTCTTTCTATTTTTTTTTTCTTTCTCTTTTTTTTTTTTTTCTTCTTTTTTTTTTCTCTTTTTTCTTTTTTTTTTTTTTTTTTTCCTCTTTTTTTTTTTTTTCCTTCCTTCTTCCGGTTCGTCTGTATTGTGCTGGATGCCTAGGGTCCGGTGAGTTTGTCCGAATTTTCGTGGGTAGTGCTGGTATTGCTTCCTGGTTTTGTCGGATTGGGCTGGACCTGCATCATCCCTCTGCTTATTTGTTGTATCCGCCATCTTGTTCTAGTTTTGGTTACTTCCCTCCTTCGGTGTTTCCAATAGGAGTTGACTGTATCCCCCTGTCTTACTTGTTTGAGAATTGGTCGGCTCCAATTCTCCGCCTCGGACATACACTGGTAGAGCTTCCAGTATATTAATTGGCTTTGATGAAACACAATCTTTTCATTTAATCCCCCTATCATTAGAACGACTATGGGGATTATTACGTAATTACTTACCATATACACACATATATACACACACACACGTATACTTATATATACATATATATATATATATATATATATATATATATATATATATATATATATATATATATATATATATATATATCACCTTTTTTTTTTTTTTTTTTTTTCTCGGTCTACTCCGCTCCTGGGAGTTGTTGATATCAGGGGGGGTGTTCCTGAGTTACCCTTGTTTATCGGTCTTGACCTATATGTCCCTATCATGGTGGGAAATCTTAGCCTATACGGTGCTTATAGGTTTCAGGATCCACCCAAGCTTGTGCTAGTATGAGTCCTAGCGCCTGTTTTATGATATGGACTAGGTATGATGTTTGCGAGTATTTTGGTGTTTGTATGCGGGGATGGGTTATTAGGGTTTCAATACCGGCTTATAGATTCCCTTTATTTGAATATTTTAAGAATTTCAGTAGGAATGATTCAGCTATCTTGTTGTATTCATTCGTCTCCTCTCTGTGTGGTTCTCAGGTTTCTTCTTTATGTTATGTTATTTACTGAATAATAATGGATGATACAGTGATATTGTACTTTTTTTTTTTTTTTTTAAACATAAGTTTTTATTACTACTATTATTGGGGCTTACCCAACTCTCATCGTCATCAACCTTCTAATTATTATTATTAATATTATTATTAATTTTTATTATTTATTATTAGTATTTATTTATTTTTTTTTTTTTGAGTATTCTTAATATATTGCTAAGGTCTATTGC